GGGGACAAAAAATCATTAGCTGTAAATGTGTCTTCAACAAGAAAGAAGGGATTCTGGATACAAATTCTGTAAGATACAAGGCACGCTTAGTAGCTAAAGGCTATAGTTAGACCGAAGGTGTGGGCTTCAATGAAGTATTCTTGCTAATTAATTCACGTGTTGCTTGTCATGGTTGCTCATTTTAATTTGAAGCTTGAGCAACTTGATGTGAAGACAACCTTTCTATGTAGTGAGCTTAAGGAGCACATCTTTATGCATCAGCCAAAGGGGTTCGTTGTTAAAGATAAAAAAGATAATGTGTGCAGGTTGAAAAAATCTCTTTATGAGTGGAGACAATATCTGAGACAATGATATTTAAGATTTGATACTTTCATATTTGAGCATGATTATTCCAAGAGTAAATATGATTGTTGCGTTTATCATAAAATTCTCAATGATGGTTCTTTTGTATATTTACTTTTGTATATCAGGTGTCATTTATCAGAAAATTTAAGGTCATTAAGATTGAGAAAATTGATATTACAAATAATCAAGCAGGTATGATGAAGAAGCGCGTATCTTCGCACAAGTTTGAGTATTGTCTCGAATTACTTGGAGTTCAACAAAGTAGAGGTTAAGTCCATAAGAGGCTTCTAGCGAGACAGCAAGAGCGAAGAGATGATCTTCATATTCAAAGTCAATGTGGAGATTTGTTAAATATGACTTCGAATCAAATTTGATATATGTGTTTGAACCATCAAACTCCTCACAATTTCACCAACCCCTCTCACTATTTCACCAACCCTTTTCACCATTTCACCAACCTTTTTGTATATGTGAAGTTATAAATACCTATAAAGATGAGAGTTAAATGCATTCGGGACAAAGAGAAGACAAATAGAGTTGAAGAGAAAAGAAAAAAATAGTTTTATTTGAGTGTTCTCTTCTTTGTGTGAGTTTGGGGAGATATTAGAGTGGTCTCCTTTTGTAATATTCTCTTTTGTGATTAGTGAATATCTCTGCTGTTCTTACCTGTGAACGTAGGTCATGAGCGTAGGTCATACTGATCGAACTACGTTAAATCCTTGCGTGCTGTTCTCTGTCTCTACTGTGATTACATAGTATCATGTTATTATCCACTTTGTCTAGACATCTTCTGTGTTTGCGTAGCCCCTGTGATTATATAGTACTATGTTATTATCCACCTTGTATAGACATCTTCTATGTTTGTGTAGCTCCCACTGCAAAAGTTTCGGTTTTCTTACCTTAGAAGAGTTTAGGTTTGTGTACGTATGTTTTAATTTGTCTTCTTCTATGTTTATGTGACATGCAAACATGTAACTGTTGAAGCAAAAGGGTAACACTCAAGCTCACAAACTTAAGATCAATTCAATTTATCTCTGAACGCTGATGCGACAGACTTGTATGTACTCCAGCCATGTATTCTATACAGAAATACCAATTTAATTGGTTGAAATAATACAGATTAGGAGTTTGTTTTACTAGCGGTTAATTAGCAAATACTCTAAGTACACCCTAAACAGTGTACATAAATACCTGAAGATTTCATGCCCGTTAGCAATTCCAGCTTTAAGCAAACAAACCTCAGACTAAAAAGAGGGGGAGATGTTTAGTCTGTATTTACACAAGAAGACACCTTACATACCCAAACAAAAAGGAGGAATATTTATTTTAATTGCGTTTAGTGCTGAATTCAAATGTGCAGTGTTTATGTACCGTACGTCTTCAATAGATGATTCTCATTTCGTGTGTATGTGTATGTGCTCGAGGACGTATGTGCATTTGTCCATATGCAAGTTTGGTGTTCCAGAACAGTGTCATTCATTTTACTGACTGCAATTTCTTTCCTTATTATTTCCTTGTGTTTATGGGCGCCTTGTTGATGGTCTTACTTGTAACTACGAATTTGAGTCTCAGACACTATCAGTTACGTGCTAGATGCTCAGTTCTTTTCCTTGTTGACCGTATATGGCTTTTCCTTGTTGACCGTAAATGATCTATTGCAAAAATTTGGTTGTTGATCTCACCTTGTTTCCTTCTGGTTGGCCAGGAAAAACTAGAGAAGAAAAGACAAATGCCTTACCATGTGCAAATAAACCTCGAGCTCCTGGAGGCCATTCACCTCATCTCTGCCATGCTTCTTGAGGTCCCAAACATGGCTTCCAACACTAAATTCAAGATCACGAGAAAGCCATGCTTGAGGTGAGCGATCGTCAGACCTTTGTGGGCCCACCTGAGAACGTCCCAGATCATGTGATGTACGCAACACGCGCTCTCTCCAAAGGTGACTACGAGAAAGCCTTTGCAGTCCTCCGCTCTCTCGATACCTGGGAACTTGTTAATAAGAGAGATAATCTGTTGTCGATGCTTGAGTCTAAGATCAAGGGGGAGGCCCTTCGGACTTACCTCTTCACCAACTCCTCTTGCTATGAATATCTCAGTGTGGATCAGCTGACCGCCATGTTCAACCTTTTAGAATATCAAGTCCACAGTATTGTAGGCAAGATGATCATCGCCAAGGACTTGCAAGCAATTTGGGATCAGCCAACAAGGTGCATAATATTGTATTCAATAGTTTTCAGCGTAGCAGGTTTCAAAAGCTCGTGCTTCAGATGGCAGGCAAGCTTGACATTTTCAGTGAAAGCAATCAGAGGGCAGCGGAGGTGAGAAATGGCGGGGCGCTTGATGGTATGCTCTCAAGGAAGAGAGGGGAGGGTCAGGATAAGCGGCAGGGTATCCTTAGGGCGTCTCCAATGGAGCGCCAAATCTCCATTTTGGAGTGTTTTGGGAGCGCCAAACATCCCGCTAAAATAGCGGGATGCTACAGTGTTACGCCATAAATGGCGCAACACTATAGCATTCACGCAATTTTTTTTTTGTGAAAACTTTTTATGGAAGGTCTTATGAGAAGAAATACAGAAACAAACTTTTTTTTGTTATTTATATTTATATTAATAATATATATTATTTTATATTAACTATTATAATGAAATTAGAGTATAAAATAATTATTAAAATAAAATTCAACAATGAAAAAAATAGATTATTTAATCCAAACACTTAAAATTTTATAATACTAGAACCAAACGAAAAAAATAAGAAAAACTACACCATTTAGATAAAAAAATACAACATAAACATTAGGACATAAAAAAATTACACATAAATTAGGACATTAAAAATTACCATTAATTGCAATACATTAAAATTAAAGAAAAATAGAACATGCTACATAAACTAAAAAAATATTTCAGTATTCTGGGAAATTATCATCAGAAGGCCGAAGATGCTTGAGATGCATTAATTGATCATTTGTAGGATGAATACACTAATTCGGAGACTTAGCATTTTATCAATATGGACCGTGTCTTTGTGTTTTATGTTATGTTAAATGTAATGCCTTTTATTTTTTTGCTTTTAAGTGTGATGTTTTCTTTTGTGATGTTAAATGTAATATTTAGTTGAATTTATGAAAGTAATATTTTAATTTGATTTAGCATTTAATTTTTTATAGTTTTATTTTATTCATAAAATATATTATTATAATTAATTATATGTAATGTATTATATAATTATATAATTTGATAAATATTTTAAATAGATAAAAATGTTAAAAGATAAGAATAATAAAATGAATATTCTTTTTGGTGTAACATTTGGTATAATGGGTTAGAGATGAAATAGTGATTTGGTGTAAAAACTACACCAACTTGGTGTAAAAACTACATCATTTTAGGCTTTTGGATTGGAGATGCTCTTAGCACCTGTAACCGAGCAGGCCACAGAACAAGAGGAAGATATAGTTGTGATTATCTGGGCACTAGGTATCAAGATGCTTATGTTGTGAGAACCGCACAGATAGCTTTTTGGGGCGGGATGGTTTGTCTGGACAAGGGTGTCGTAGTTTTATTGAAGACAGAGTGGAGTGGAATTCAACGAGGAACAAAGGTATTTGAGAGTTTGGCTATTTCAGGTTTTACCCAGTTCTTATCATTAGTTCTCCTTTTGTTTTGTTCTGATCTATTTATGTTACTATATATTCTGCTCATTATTTTGTTAGCCACCAAGTTATTTCTCTCTGTTACCTCTGGTAACTGTTTCTATGTGACCTATAAGAGTAAGTCTATTTCTGTGTCTTAAAGATGTAGAAAAGTGACTAAATAGGATGATTATTTGTTGGGGATTCGAAACAATCAAATCAAACCCTTGCCCTTCCGGACCTTGTTAGAAAGTTGCGCAAGAAAGAAGTTCACCACAAATCAAAGATAAAAACTTGTAGAAATAAGAACAAGGGAGAACACACGAATTTAACGAGGTTCGGCAACGTGCCTACGTCCTCGGGAGCCACACCACAAAATCTCTTTGATTAATTGAAGAAGGAATACAAGCACTCAAACAAGGGATTAATCTCTCTGAGATTCTCTCTCTCTTTTTCTCTTTCTGATGGTTTTTCACGTTCTTATTAGCCCTAGAAAACATATAGATATATATGAATCCCAGCCCAAACAAAATTCAAAACAGATTAGGAAACTGCCAGCTCGACTCGCGGTCGACCGTCGAACCAGTCGCGGTCGACCGTCAAACCAGTCGCGGTCGACCGGATAAATGACAGAAACCCAAAACGCCTATAGGGTATATCCGATCGACCGCAGAACCCATCACGGTCGACCTTGAAAAGTCTAGAGACTTTTCTTAGTCGCATGCATGGTCGCGATCGACCGTCGAGAGCACCGTGATCGACCGCACTGTAGTTTTCCTGTTTCCTTCGTTTTACTTCATCTTCTTGATTCCAGCTTTGACTTCAGCTTTGGGTCTACACTTAGACTAACAATCACCCACTTAGAGACCAAAGCGCCATCAACGAGTTCACCCGAACTCTTCCCTTCTTCGCAAGTATCTTCTCCTCCCCGGAAAATACTTTCTTTCATCATCAATATCCCAACGATCTCGCCGATCCTCCTAGTGTGGCTCCGCCTTCATCTTCTACTCGTGAAGGCAACTGAAGTTACGCACAACTCCAGTTTCTCAATGATGACTGCCTTCGTCAACATGTCCGCCGGATTTTGACTCCCCAAAATCTTCATTAAGTGTAACTTTTCGTCCCTTCGTCAACATGTCCGCCGGATTTTGACTCCCCAAAATCTTCATTAAGTGTAACTTTTCGTCTTCAATCAGCGAGCGTATGAAATGTCCCCAAAATCTTCATTAAGTGTAACTTTTCGTCTTCAATCAGCGAGCGTATGAAATGGTATCGTACGTCGATGTTCTTCATTCTGGCATGATAAACTGGATTCTTGGCAAGATGTATAGCGTTCTGGCTATCACAATAAAGAACTCCTCTCCCTTGCTTCAGATCCAACTCTTCCAAACACCCGTTCAACCAGATCATCTCCTTGCTTGCTTCAGTCACCATGACATACTCAGCCTCGGTTGTAGATAAAGTCATAATCTTTTACAGACGTAAGACATAGCTCACTGTTGTTGACGCTAAGGTATAAACATACCCCGTGGTTCTTCGCCTCATATCATGATCACCAGCGAAGTCCGCATCCATGTATCCCTACAGCACCAGCTCCTTCCTCCTGAAACATAGTGGCTTGTTCATTGTCCTTCTCAAGTACCGCAATATCCACTTCACGATCTCCCAATGCTGCTTCCTTGGATTGCTTGCAAATCAGCTCATAACTCTCACTGTATAGGCAATGTCCGGCCTCGTGCAAAGCATCGCTGACATGAGACTCCCAATGACCGAAGAATATGGCATTCTGCTCATATGCTCTCTCTCTCTTCATCTATCTTAGGCGATTGTTCCTCAGATAACTTAAACTGGCTTTCAAGGGGTGTGCTAACAACCTTAGCATTTTGCATATTGAACCTCTGAAGTACCTTCTCGATATATTCAGCTTGGCTCAACCTCAATGTCCCTTTAGCCTCATCCCTACTGATTCATATCCCTAGAATATGCTTTGCTACACCCAGATCCTTCATAGCAAACTCCTTTGCTAGCTGCTTCTTTAAACTATTTATCTCCTCTAAACACGGTCCTACTACTAACATGTCATCAATACATAATAATATAATAATAAAGTTTGGACTCGAACCTCTTAAAATAGCAACAATGATCCAAATTACATCTTTTGTAGCCATTATTTTACATGAAGTTATCAAACTTCTTGTACCACTGTCTCAGAGCCTGTTTCAAACCATATAAGCTCTTGTTGAGCTTGCACACCATCTCTTCCTTTCCTTCTTCAATGAAACAACATGTTACTTTATGTAGATTTCTTCATCCAAGTCACCATGAAGAAAGACAGTCTTCATATCTAACTACTCATGGAAGAGGTCTTCTGCAGCCACCAAGCTCAACACCATCTTGATGGCTGTGAGCTTTACAACAGAGGAAAATATCTTCGTATAGTCCACTCCTTTCCGCTGCTGGAACCCCTTTACAACTAATCTGGACTTAAACCTCTTGCTTTCATCACTCTCTTGCTTGACCCGGTAGACCAATTTGTTATGCAAGGCCTTTTTCTGTGCAAGTAGCTGAGCTAATTCCCATGTCTCATTAGTGAGTAGAGAATCCATCTCCTCCTGCATCGTATGCTCCCAATGTTGAGATTTACTCACTTGCATAGCCTCCTCATAGCACTCCAGTTCACCGCTATCTATTAGCAATAAGTAGTCAAGAGATAAAAGATATCTATGATTCGGTTTAGGTACCCTGGATGACCTACTAAACTCCACGTCCTGGGTAGTTGCTTCTGCACCTTGAGCCTCCTCCATTCTTCGGTCAGAACAAACATCATCACCCCTAACTGAAAGTTCCTCTAAATCCATGTACTCAGATCCACCTGCATTCGAAGTGCTGCTCCCACTGCTTTGGCTATCCTTGGTATTTTTCCTCCTTGTACATCACCTCCTCATTCAATATGACGTCTCAGCTCCGGATGATCTTCATGTTCTTCTCATCCCAAAGACGATACCTGAACTCATCAATGTCGTATCCAATGAATGTATACTTCTGTGACTTATCCTCTAGCTTGTCCCTGACATGGTCACTAATATGAACATAAGCCACGCAACCAAATACCCACAAGTGTGAGAGACTTATCTTCTTTCCACTCCAAACCTCCTCTGGAATCCCAAAATCCAATGGAACTGATAGCCCATGATTAATAAGGTAAGTCGCCGTATGCACCGCATCCGTCCAAAATGACTTAGGCAGACATGCGTGTAATCACATGCTCCTGGCACACTCCGTCAAGGTCCTGTTCATCCTCTCTGTAATGCCGTTTTGCAACGGCATCCCTGAAGTAGTCCTCTCTAAGCGAATACCATTCATAGTACAGAACCTCTTGAACTCCTCCAGCTCGTATTCTCCGCCATTATCTGATCTCAGACACTTTACCTTTAGATCTGTCTCGTTCTCCATTATGACCTTCCACTTCTTGAAGACTACGAATATCTCTGACTTGTGCTTCATGAAATAAATCCACACCTTCCTCAAGTGATCGTCGATAAAGGTGACATACTATCTCAAACAACCAAAAGAAGACACACTGACTGGACCTTATACATCTGTATGAATCAACTCTAGCTTCTGAGCCTTAGGTAGCCTTCCATCCTTCTAGAAACTAACCATCTTCTGCTTTCCAAAGATGCAGTCTTCACAAACCCCGACTTCCACGAAGTTGATCCCGGTTAGCTTTCCCTGTGAATGTAAGATCTTCATCCCCTTCTCGCTCATGTGCCATAGCCTGTTGTGCTACAGATCTATACTCTCTTTACCAGCTATAATTGCGAGGGTGTCACTTGCATGTAAGGTGAGGTAGAGAGTCCCTAATTTCTTACCTCGGGCAACTACCATCGTACTGTTAGAGATTCTTCATGAATCCCCTGTGAATGTTGAAACATAGCCTTCTGCTCCAAGCTGTCCCATTGAAATAAGATTCCTCTTCAACTTCGGTACGTATCTCACGTTCTTCAAGTTCTACTTAGAGCCCTTCATCTGAATCTGCACATCACCCTTTCCAACAATATCACAGGGCTCATTGTCCCCCAAATATACTTTTCCAAAGTCCCCTGCTACATAATTCTAAAGAAGCTTCTTATTAGCAGTGGCGTGGAAATAGACTCCTGAGTCGATGATCCAAGAATCTGAATCGCTATCCATAGCAAGGATCAAAGCATCATGCATGATATGAGCCTCCTGCTCACCCGCATCCTTCTTTGGACTCTTGTAGACTGAAGACATATGACCCTCCTAGCCGCAGTTCTAACACTTTCCTTTGATAAGTCTAACCTTCAAGTTCGACCTCTTCTTCACTGACTTCGACTGATTTCTGTTCTGATTTCCTTTCTTCTGGCTTCTGCCTCTCTGCTCAAAGTTTAGGACTGAACCTGATCCTTCTGATTCTGACGTTTTTCTTCTAACCTCCTCGGATAGAATCATGCTGACCACCTCACTCAGCTTCAACTTTTCCTTTCTCGCCGAATTACTGATTATCACCACACAACCTGCCTAACTTTTCGGCAACTACGATAGTAATAAAAGGGCGTACACTTCATCATCGAACATGATGTCTACGGAGATAAGCTGATCAACAATCGTGTTGAACTCGCTGAGGTGCATCGTGAAGGACCGTCCTTCTGCCATCTTGAGGTTAAAAAGAGTTTTTATCAGATACACCTTGTACATCCGAATCCTCACAGTACCTATCCCACAAATATCACATGATTGATCATTTCCCATGATAACAACACCCCCATCGAGTCTTTCAAATGATGAAAACCAATCTCGCTTAGGAGTCACATGATAAGTAGTGCCAGAATCAAGCATCCAATCTGATACATCCAAGTGGTTCACCTCCGGAGTAATCAATAGAGAAAAGCTCGAATCATCGGAATCATCGCCTTTCGCAACATTCACCTCATTGGTCTCCGGGCCCTTCTTCTTGCTATTCTCCTTCTCCTTGATCTTTGGACAATCTCTCTTTCAATGTCCCTGCTCCTTGCAGAATGCACATTGGTTCTTTCCTAGCTGGTGACGACCTCTTGACTTTGACCTTCCTCTATTACCACATTTTGGATATGGGCTTCTACCTCTCGTCGACAAGGCCTCTCCTGAACTACTAGCGTGGGAAGTCTTTTTGTCCTTCCTCTTCAAATCATAGTTTGTCAAAGCATTAGTAACTTCACTATAGCTGATAGAAGACCTCTCATTCAACAAAGTGAGTACGAAGGTATCATACTCCTCATCCGGTAAGGAGCCCAACAAAATAATCACCTTGTACTCATCCGATATCTTCTCATCAACATTCATCAAGTCCGATAATAACTTAGTGTAGTTGTTCACATGAGCCGCTAGTGAGGAGCCTTGGGACATCTGAAATATGAACAATCTTCGCAGCAAGTGCAAACGGTTCTCAACACTCTTCATAAGGTACTTATTGTTGAGAATTTCCCACATCTTCATTGCAGACATCACCCCAATCACATCATACTTTAATTCCTGTTCTAAACAGGATTTGATCGCCCACAAGCGTTCCTATTCATCTTTTCCCATATCGCCTCTTCATATTTTGGTGGTCTCTCTTGGACCATGATGATCTCCTCCAAATTCTGAGCATTGAGCGCATCTTGAACGTCGCTCATCCACAAACCAAAGTTGATCTTGCCGTCATACTTCACCACACTAATTTTGGTGTTCTGAAAACCAACTTGGACTGTACTTGCCATCTTGCTGCTTTCATCAACTTCTTCACTCATACTCGCAAACTCCAAATTATAAAGAAAGATTCAAACTTTGAAAGGAATAAGAAATTATCCAACTGAACCCAAGATTGGATTCCAAATAGAACTCCTAACCACACGAGGAAAGCGAGATCTCCAATGGCAACTTCAAATCCTATCTCTACCGAAGCCTAGAACTCCAAGAACCAAGCTTTCACGACGAATCTTCCTCCACCTAATGCCAAAACTCTAGATCTAAAATCTGAGCTCTGATACCAATTGTCGCGCGCCTATGCGGAAGCGTTCTCGCTCACCAAACAAGTCGTAACCATGGGAGAAGAATAACCAATCACACACGAGCACAATCCAAAACAGAAATACGACAGATCAATCACAAACACAGAGATATACGTGGTTCGACAATTTACTTACGTCCATGGGGAGAGGATGAGGAGATTCCACTAAATCAAGGAGAGTACAAAGAGTTACAATCTCACAAAGCTCACAAACTAACCCTCAACCAAAACTCTCAACTTGCTCTCAATATATCTCTCTCACAATGCTCAAAAAGTCTCTCTAATCTCTGATTACAACTCTCCTCTTTTTGATGATCCTAATCTCTTCTAAGGCGTTCCATATATATAGAAAACCTAAAACCAAAACAGACTAGGAATTCTAAAACAAAAAACAAAACAAATTAAAAATTCTAATAACATGTTACCAAAACAGATTAAAAATCATGTTACCAGAATAGATTAGAAATCCTAATAACCTGTTACCAAAACAGATTAGGAACCTGTTATCCAACACCACCGTCGTCATCCCCGTGCCTTTGACCCTCGTCTAGCAGCACCACTTGGCTTTTGAAGTTGACAAGAAGTGGGTCCCACATTTAGACACCTAGTACGCATCCGTCGGCAGTATGCAGACGAGAATCCCTTCGGCTTGGAGAAGATCCCAAACTAATCAGCCAAAAGCTAAAGCCAATAAATAGACTGTTCTCCTTCCGCTCTCCCCCAAAGTGCTAATTAGAGAAATGGAGGATCTCACGTCCATTGCTGCTACTGTCAGTTCTCTCTTGTTGTTCTTCTTGGTTTTGAGAGGAGTCTATTGGGTTTGGTGGAAGCCCATGTCGATAGAGCGGCAGCTGAAGGCCCAAGGGATATTTGGAAGCCCTTACAAATTGTTCTTTGGGGACTTGAAGGAGATTGGGAGGTCCATAGTCCTGGCAAGATCCATGGCCATGGAGCCCAATCATCGGTTCATCACCCGCGTCCTCCCCTTTGTTTCTCAACAAGTTCAACAATTTGGTATTTCACTATCTCCTCCTTCTCCAACATAAGTAAAAAAAAAAAAAAAAACTGATTGCAATAATATTTGAACTTTTTGCAATATTGATATTTGCTTGCTCCGCTGGTATCGTGAATGTTGACTTAAGCTAGAGCATGTGTGTGAACCATGGGTTATAAATTTATAACCCACTTGTATTATAATCCATTTGTGGATTGTAATCCAAAGCATCTGGCAAATTTGATTATAATCCGTTTTCAAACTTTACATGTTTGGCAAATGGGTAATTATAATATAATCTATCATTGTTGTAAAAATGATAAAAAAGGACAATGACTCTGAATTTAATCATCAATACAAATTTTTCATAAGGGGTAAAATTGTTTTTTACTTGATCAAACTTCATGTATTGTAATCCACCAAAAAATAAGCTAGGATACCCTGACTAATTTTTTGGTGGGTTATGATCGAAAACAATCCACTGGCCAAACATCCAAAAGTGGTTATGAGCCACAGAAGTGGATTATAATCCTACTTTGACCATTTGTCAAACATGCTCGTAACTTATAGCAAGAAGTGTGTCATTTTCCTAATATCATTTTCTATATAGATACATTCGTATGCTATGTTACTTAGGTACTTCTAATATGAAGCCGTACCCGTACCCAGCGCGTACCCGTTCCCGTACCCAAACTCCTTGGACACTCCTTGCATATGTGCATACATTTATTCGGGCATGTACTAAATTAAACAATATATGTTTCAATATAAAACACTTGTCACACATTGTTTGCATATATCCTACACTTCACATTCACTTCTTGCAACTCGTTGGGCATAGAGCAGCTTCCGAAATATCATTTTAAAAGGTCGTTTGGATATCTAGTTCAAAAACTAGTAATTGTCCAATTTATAATTCATATAATAAGAAAAACACAAAATTGTCATAGAAATTTTAATTATCATCCTTGTTCTCATATAAATTATTAATTCCAGTATATAATATATGTGTATTATAAATATTAAAATAGACGTATCCCCGTACGTTACCTTTTACAATTTTACCGTGTACCGTACTCATACCCGCAACTATACTTACCCATGCAACATAGTCTGTATGTTATTTTATAGATACGCCATGGGCCCGTACCTGAGCATCACAATTTGAAAAGAAGAAGAAGCCCTTTAAGAGCACTCTAATGGATATCATGTAGGGCATTAAAAGAAACGGTGACAGCTACTACGTGATGGGGGTTCCCGTCTCCACACCCTATATATGATATTCTGTAGAGGGTTCTCTTCAAATTTTTTCACTCTTACTCGATAAGGCAGTTTGATTTTGTATTGTATTTTCCATATCTTGTTGAAAAAGAATTTTCACCTAAAGTCTACTATTAAGATATATTCACATTCAATAGTTATTGAGTTGGACTTAAGTGAAGTAAATCCACTGTGGTGTTAAATAATATCATCATTTTTAAACCTATATGAGTAAGCGGTATATCATATTATACTCGCTATAAAAGTGTGAGTTTAGGAAAAACTTTCTATGAACAAAAACATCCTTATTCCTTTTAGATATTATATTATTATCGTATCCTAATTAATATAACTATCAATAAAAATTAAATGAGAAATTACGATAAAAAATTTAAATAGATAGTAATTTTAGATAAAAGATAAGAAATTGATTAGCAGATAAGAAATCGATAATAAGCAGTTAGTTTTTATCTTTAAATTTAATTGTCTATAATAATTAGTAAATAAATAAAAATTATTATCTTATCCTAATATCCAATCCTAATATCTTTAAATTAGGAGATAAGAAATTGATAATAAGGAGTTAGTTTTTATCTTTATATTTAATTATCTATAATAATTAGTAAAGAAATAAAAAATATTATCTTATCCTAATATTTTTAAATTACAACATCTTGATAAAATATAAGATTTTGGTAATTAGGTTGTTTTTAACTTAAATTTCGTTGTCTACAATAATTATTAGAGAAACAAAAAGTTTGCGAATATGAAAGATTTTTTGGGTAAGTATGTACAAACCCTAACTTTATTTTTTAATTCAAACCAACTTCTTTTTAAAACTCTGTTATAGATATGCATAGACTGGACTTTAATCTGAACAAAATCCCTATCATAGGCCAACATAGAATTACATTTAGGCCCATCTAGAATTATAAGCCTTTACACATCCTTTTTAATACCTACTATTATAAAAATAAATTGTATCAATTATACAAACGTCATGCCCATGCTTGCACATGGTTGTTTATAAATTTTAGGCTTTTGTATATAATTTTTAGACTTTGGAGGTGGTTGTTTGTATTTTTCAAAATTTAAAAGAAGTTGTTTCTAATTTTCAGCTTTTGCGTGGAGCTACTTGTGACATTCAAATTTTGTCGGATCATTGTTTGTAAATTTTGAATTTTTGTGATCTGCTTGCAATTTTTAGATTTTTTTTAAAGTTTTATTTTTGTAATTTTAGATTTTATGGGTATTGTTTGTGAATTTCATATCTTTTAGAGGCTTGTTTGTAGTTTTTGGTTTTTTGAGATTTGTCTGTAATTTTTAAAATTTAAAGGGGTGTTCATAGTTTTTATATTCTTCAAGAGACTGTTTGTAGAATCATATTTTTCAGAGGGCTATTTGTAATATTGGTATTTTGAAGGGTTATTTGTAATTTCATGGATTAATCTATAAAAATTATGTTATTATTATATTATATTATACTCCTTATGTGAGTTTGGTTAAAACTTCCATGGCCAATACTAACCTTAACAGTTTTGGATATTACATTTTATAATTCTAATCTATCCAAATTATCCTAATCTCATGTAAGCTACAACTTTACATATTCTTATTACCACACGAACAACTTCAAACATATATATCCCAATCGCAAGTGAACAAATCCCCAAACTTGTCAAAGTACCCATAAAAATTCAAAAATTATAAAAGCTTCCTTAAAACATTACAAACTTAAAGAACACTAACTAAAAATCTAGAAATTATAAGCAGTCCCCTAAAAACTTATGGAATTTGCAAAAAACCCCCTCAAAATTTTATAAATTGTAAAAAAGTAAAAATTTTAAAATTTATAAAAATATCCTTAGAATTACAAACCTAATAGTACACTAAAAATATTTGAATTACAAACAGCCCTTAAGCAATTTGTAATTTGCAAAAAATATCCTAAAATTTAAAAAAAAAGCAAAAGACCCTCCAAGTTAAAAATTGATAAAAAATACCCTAAGAATTTCAAACCTAACAATATTTCGAAAGTATAAGAATCGTAAACAACCCCCTAAATAATTTGCAATCTATAGAAAACACCATAAAAGTTTCAAAAATTGCATGAAGACCTTCATAACTAAAAATTTACAAAGATATACTGAGAATATTTTAAAACTACAAAGAGTACACTGAAAATATAAGAATTACAAATAATTCTAAAAAAAAATTAGAATGTGCAAAAAATATCCTGATTGTTTTAAAAAGTACAAAAAACCCTAAAAATTTAAAATTTACAAAAAACCCTCAAAAACTAAAATATACAACTGTTATATTAAAAAATTTTAAATTAGAAATTTGTAAATAAATCTTAAAATTTAAGAAAATTGTAAAAAATCCCAAGAATTCAAAAAATTATGGGGATTTTGCAATTCTTTGATTTTAGTATAATGTTTGGAAGTTTCGAAATTGTGATCATACATTTATAAATTTTTTAATTTGGTGTTTTCTACAATTTTTTTAAAATTTTGAGGGTGTTTTTAATGTAATGCATAGATTTGTCAAGCAATAATGAAGATCTTTAAGAGGAAGTGGCTCTTAAGATGTGCTAGGCAATAGTTATGGGAGTATGCAGATCAATTATTTTAGGCTGTAGCTTATGTATGTAGAAAACTTCAGACAATCTATATCATAGTTTGGTCTTATGTGGAGATGGATTCAATTAACACATTTAGAGAAGTAGACTAGTTAAACAATTTGTAATTTATAGAAAACACCTTGAAATATCTCAAAAAATGCAAAAAATAGTCAAAGCCCAAAATTTAAAAAAATACACTGAGAATGTGAAAGCTACAAATAAAACATCGAAAATATAGGAATTAGAAACAACCCTTAAAATTTTAGAATTTTTAGAAAACATCTTAAAAGTTTCAATTTTTATAGAAAACACCCTAAAATTTTGCAAATTTTATAAAAACACCCTCAAAAAATTAAAGATGTAAAATGTATAATGAAACTCTATGAATTTGAAATTTACAAAAAATACCCAATCGTTTAAAATTTTTTTAGGGGCATTTTTATAGTTCCTTGATTTTCCATATAATATTTGAAAGTTTTGAAACTTTCAACATGTATTTATAATTTTTTAAATTTCTAGGGTACTTTTTGCGATTGTCAAAACTCTTGAGGTTTTTTTATAGTTACATAAACTTTCAGTGTGTTTTCAATGTAATGCATAGATATATTAAGCAATAATGGAAAATCTTTAAGGGGATATGGTTCTTAAGATGTATTAGGACATTATGGAAGCATGCACATCCATAACCATGTCAAATTCATCATAGATAGATTATTTCGCAACCAAGTTATAATAAACAAATAAATACAAAGAAATAATCAAGATATTTGATCAGCGTCCTAACTAGTACATATAAAAGGAAGAGTTTGACCATAATTCTTAAAGTCCCTGCCGCTACACAAAATCTCCAAAGTTATGATGAAGATTGAGAGAAAAATTTATATTCTAACATATGCCCCCTACAGGTTGAGGTCTCTTTAATGGGCTGAAATTTGAGGCTCTACTTTTTGTAAACCTACTTTAGAAATTCATGGCCAATTAGATTCGAACCTAGGTTGTTCAGATACCATTTAAAGTCCTTTCCACTACACCAAAAACTCGATAGTTGTGGTGAGAGTTGAGCATTATAATTTCATATTCTAACAATAATTAACTATATTTTAAACTTGTTGATGTAAATATTATATGTTCAATATGCGCATGTGCGCACGCACACACTACATCACATTGAGTTGGTGGCTGGTCTCTCAGTATTTATTTGATCCACAATTAACCTAGAAAGCACCAAAATCTGGTTAATACATGTGTAATTTTGAGCTCATTAAATCTGGATGATCTGGATCATCCATGCATCTTTCTTCCAATCAGGGTATCAGTTTGAGCTGATTTTGTAAACTCCAATCATTGAAATAGCCCATAGGGCAATATTTTGTTCTGTGTTTACCTTTACAATTCAATCAAAATGCTACCAAATACGTTCTTTAGTTTGCTATTTATTAAACCAAAAATGTTATCAACATAGAGTCAACAACAACACAACATACACACATAGACACGCGCGTGCACATACACGCGCTATAATATACTTGAATGAAAGCTTTAGTGGTTATAAAATCTTACATTCATTATCTCTAGCTAAACATAACTCTTATGCATAATTAAAGTAAAACATAATTTTGTTAATCAAATTTGAAAATTTTAAGTTCAGTTAAAAGCTGTATAATATTACAAGGTGTAATTAGTATTCGGTAAGATACAAATCGAACAATGATGCTGTTGCTTAAAACTGACTTTGGCACAAGGCATATGAGTTATAGATCCAAATACAAGCTGCTTGTATCGTAGTTTGATAATCGTTGTTGAAACCAGAGAGGCACCAATATGAAAGGTAAGTAATAATTTATGCTTATTGGCTTTTGGTTTTGTCTTTCATGTTCAGTCTGTTGACTATCTTTTATTTCGATATTGATATTTTATGTAGTCTAGTATGTTTGTCTATGGCTGTCTATATAGACTGTTGCTTTTCATTTCTGTACATTACATCCTTACTCATGTAATGTGGAACACATTATTCATGTCTTGCATCTGGAGACGACGTCTCATTAAATCCTTATGTCAATAAAATCTTTATATCATCAGCAAATATTTGTTTTTGTTTGTGGACCAGGTAATATCTGTTTCTTTTGGGTGTTCACAACTCCGAGGATAATCATACAAGATGCAGAACTGATAAAGGAAGCTCTAGCAAACAAGTCTGGCCAGTTTCAGAAGTTACCTTTATCTCCATTTCGAAGAATATCGGCAGGGCTTTCTTCTTTGGAAGGGGATAAATGGTTCCAGCACAGGACCATTCTTACTCCTGCATTCCATCTCACAAAGTTGAAGGTTGTTTCCTTCCTCTTCATTTTTTCCTTTCAATATCTCTAATATCAGTTCTTGACATCAATTGGTTAATACATAAACTGGCAGTGCTTATCTGTTTATTTACTGATATTTTAGATTTTTTAGTGAAATGTGTTATTAAAAATTTTGTTTTCATGAACTCTCTTGGTTCATCATTTCTACAGCATTAACTCTTGCTGTAAATCTCTTTGATGCACTTCTTCTTCCTCTTTTTTCTTTTTTGATGGATAACAATGCAGAGGCTTTCTAATTAAAAATGGTTATGAATATAAATAAAAAAGAATTTTTGACATGTTTTTGTTTTTACTTCTGACATTTCTACTATAATGTCACTAGTATTGTTACTCATAGTTCTTCTTCTTGTATTTTTTTAATGTATTTCACATGTAATTAAGTTTATTACAGGGGATGGTACCAGCATTTTGTACTAGTTGCAGTGAGATGATCAAGAGGTGGAAGAAATTGGTTGATAACAATGGAGTTTGTGAATTAGATGTACAATCAGAACTAGATGCTATGACTGCAGATGCCATCTCTCGGACTGCATTTGGAAGCAACTATATTGAGGGCAAAAAAATCTTCGAGCTTCAGAAACAGCAGGTTGCTCTAATGTTGAAGCCTACTAAGTTTCCATATATACCTGGGTTCAGGTAAATTTTATTAGTTAGCTTGCTTCATCTGTCTTGCGAGAATAACAATACGTTATCTTCTTGTTTTAGACTCTTAATGAGGAAAAAAAAAGCAAAGTATAAACAAAATGCTAATGCTTTTCTACGATGTCAGGTAACTAAGTGTTACAAAACTACACAGTTTTACTATAATTGTTTCTGTCCTGGTTTTATAAGAATTTCAGACGCAATATCTGATCTTTGAGTAACTAATACTACTAATATTCAAAGAAGGCAATAGTTTTACTCACATAAAATTTCTGTTTTATTACTACTCGACTTTTGTATAAAAATCACATCAATTTGTTGTTTTAATAGGTTCCTTCCAACAAAAGATAACCGGAAAAGATATCATCTCAGCAAGCAAATTGATGAAATGCTAAGAGTCTTGATTAATAAGAAGAAGACAATGAAACATAATGAGTGCGAACATGAGGATTTGTTGAGCTTGATGCTGCGATCAAACGAACAGCCATATGAGAATGCAAATGACAGAAAGCTTAAAGGATTGACACTCCAAGAGGTGATGGAGGAATGCAAGTTATTTTACTTTGCTGGCCATGAGACCACTTGCGACTTGCTAACTTGGACAATGGTACTCTTGTCGATGCACGTGAATTGGCAAAACCGAGCAAGGGAAGAAGTTAGAGAGATTTGTGGTAGAACTTTTCCCAACTACGAAAACATTAGCCAACTCAAGATCGTAAGTCCTCTTTGTTGAATATTAAGTTGTTTCACTCATTTCTAGGATTTTTTACTTGTACACCCTTCAAATATTTTAATTTTTAAAAATTACCCCTCAAGATGTTAATATTTTTAAATTTATCTAACTATAATTTGTGGTTAGAACCAAATTATATTCCCTGCATTTAATGTTAAATAACAAGTAATGGATATCTGTCTTTCCCCCATCATCCTGTTGTGAGGGGTAGAGAGAGGAGGGAGGGCCAGAGGGAAGAGGGTGGGATGCCACCACCTGGGAGTCCAGGTTTCAAAAGGAGGCAAACCTTCCTAAGTTCCAAGCTCAGTGGCTTAGTAATAATAATAGTTTTATCATCATCCTGTTATATTTCTATTCAGAAGTTAAATGACAGCATGATTTTGGTCTAACCACAAATCGGAGGATAGTTTACAAATATGAAGCTTAAGAGGGTAATTTTAGAATACCAAACATTTGTATAACTAGAATTATATGAGAAACTCTAATTCATTGCTGAGATAACTTGGGCTTATATAGGCCCCTATAACACACAACTTACAAATAAGTCCCTATATATTACTAATATGTCAACACTCCTCCTCAAGATGAGCGAAAGATATCCACTAAGCACATCTTGTCACATCCTCTAATCATATCTAATGAGCTAAGTCCCTTAGTCAGACAATCTGCTGCCTGGTCTTTAGTTAAAACATGACTTAGCTCCAGTAGTTCACTATCCAACTTCTCTTTGATGAAGAACCTATCAATCTCGATGTGTTTGGTTCTATCATGCTGCACTGGGTTGTTAGCGATACTGATAGCTGACTTGTTATCACACCACAATTTCATCTTAGCTCCTTGATCCAGCTTCAGCTCCACCAGCATACTCTTCAACCATAGCAACTCAGCAACTCCTAAGGCCATAGCTCTATACTCTGCCTCAGTTGTTGATCTCGTTACCACTGACTGCTTCTTGCTCTTCCACGAGACTAAGTTGCCTCCTATAAAGATGCAGTATCCTGAGGTGGACCTCCTGCCATCAGCACAGCTAGCCCAATCAAAGTCGCAATAACCCTCAATGCTCACATGTCCATTCTTTCTGAATATCAGCCCTTTTCCGGGGGCACTCTTCAAATATCTCAGAATCTGGTACACAGCGTCCATATGACCCTTCCTTGGATCATGCATGTAGTGGCTCATCACGCTCACTGCAAAAGAGATATCGGGACGTGTGTGATTCAGATAGATCAACCTGCCCACCAGCCTTTAGTATCTGTCACGATCAACTAGTTCTCCAGCTTCAGCACCCAGCTTGAACTTCTGGTTGATCGGTGTAGTTGTAGGTTTACACCCTAACATCCCTGTCTCTTTGAGAAGATCCAGTGCATACTTTCTCTGGGATAGGACAATCCCCTCCGCTCCTCGAGCTATCTCTATTCCAAGAAAGTATCGAAGCAAGCCAAGATCTTTCACCTCGAATTCCTTACCTAGTCTCACTTTGAGTTGGGCAATCTTTTTCTCATCATCCCCTGTAATAATCATATCATCCACATATACTGCAAGCATGACGATGTGACCTTCATTTCGTCGAAAGAACACAGTATGATCGGCGTTAATCTGTCGGTATCCCATACCTATCATAGCCCGCCTAAATCTGTCGAACCAAGCACGGGGAGATTGCTTCAGGCCATATAGAGACTTTTTCAATCTGCAGACCTTGCCCACTGTCTGATCTGTGTCGAATCCTGACGGAATTTCCATGTATACCTCTTCCACCAGATCTCATGAAGAAATGCATTCTTCACATCTAATTGGTGTAGCTTCCATCCACCATTTACTGTCAGAGAGATCAAGGTCCGAACAGTGCTCATCTTCGCCACCGGTGCAAAAGTCTCATCATAGTCGATGCCATATGTCTGACTATATCCTTTTGCCACCAGACGAGCTTTGTAGCGCTCAATCTGTCCGTCTGAATTCTGCTTCACAGTGAAGACTCACTTGCATTCAATTGCTCTCTTTCCTTTTGGTAGTTTTGCTCTCTTCCCTTTTGGTAGTTTTACTAACTCCCAAGTGCGGTTCTTCTCAAGGGCCCCTAGCTCTTCGTGCATAGCAGCTTTTCATTCTTTGTCATTCTTTGCAACCTGCCAATTGTTAGGTATAGTAACAGAGTACAGTGATGCAATGAATGCTCCATGTGCAGAGTGGATGTTAGAATATGATACAAACTGGGTAAGATCCCAACCATATCTATCGGGAGGATTTTCCGTATTACTGCGAGTAGTCCTATGTACAGACATTGGTGTGGGAGGAGTAGGAAGAAGAATGGTATCACCTTGAGAGGAATCTGGTGGTGGTGTAGGTGTCTCAGGAGTCGGGGCAAGCATTGGCAAGAGACTTGGCATCAGTGACACTGTAGGTACTGTTCTCGTAATTTATTTCTCCTTCTTACTATAGGTAAGTAGCTCCCCCTGAGTCGTGGACCTAACACCTCTTGTCTCATTCTCCTCTCTTGTCTCATTCTCCTCCTCTTCTTCATTCTCCTGCTCCTCCTCAACCACTTCTTCCCAAGGAATCGTTACAGAAATTGATTTCTCCACATTCACCGATCTCTCACTATTCTCCTCCTCTCGCCTCATACTTTCAGTATTAGACGAGTTACCAACAAATGAAGTTACCTTTCGGGTGTAATATGGCTCAAGTTCTCGAAAGTGTACATCCATGCTCACAAACAACCTTTCCTCCACCGGGCTTCAGCAAACATATCCTTTCTGAGTAGCAGAATATCCCACAAAGATGCATTTCACCGCTCTAGGGGTAAGCTTCCCGACGGATGGCCTGTTGTCCTTCACAAAGCACACACAACCAAACACCTTGAGTGGAAGAAGCACACCATTATCTCCCTTCAATGTCTCACACGGAGGCTTCCAATCCAGCACTCTCGAGGGTATTCTGTTGATTAGTGCTGTTGCGGTCAACACTGCTTACCCCCAAATATTTCTGGGACATTCATGGAGATCATCATACTTCTAGCAACCTCTAAAAGATATCTATTCTTTCTTTCCGCTACTCCGTTTTGAGCTGGTGTGTATGGGCACGTAGTCTGGTGTTGTATTCCCTAAGCTGATAAGTATTCCCCAAACATTTTGCTAGTATACTCCGTCCCATTATCAGATCTCAATACCTTCACCACAGCACCGTATTGAGTCTGAGCATACCTATGAAAGTTTTAAAAGCAACCAAACACTTCACTCTTATTTTTCATCAAGTACAACCAAGTAACGCGGGAGAAACAATTAATAAAGGTAACAAAATACTTGTATCCATTCATAGAATTTATGGAACAAGGCCCCCAAACATCTGAATGTATCAGGTCGAATGCACGAGAACTCCTATGATCAGAACTTACATAAGAACTTCTAGTAAGTTTTTCAAACTCACATGCATCACACACAAGATTCTGCTTATTTGCTTTCTCAAATAGAGATGGATACAACCTACTTAAAACACTAAAGGATGAGTGTCCTAAACGCTGGTGATGAAGCATCAGCACACTCTCAGCACTCATCTCAGATCCTACTTCTGCTCTCTTTATCATTGACACCAACGCTGAATCCAGCCCTTCACGATCCAGATACCACAGTCCACTACGCCATGTGCCAGTCCCAAGTCTCCGCCCTGTCCCCTTCTCCTGGAAGATCACCTTGGGAATATCAAAAGAAACAATACATTTTAGTTGGAGGATGATAGCACTAATAGACAAAAGATTGACTGGAAAGGAAAGAGCATGTAAAACATTGTACAAAGTTACAGAACCTGTACAATCGACTGTACCCTTATCAACCATTGGCTGAAATGTACCATCAGCTGTTTGAATACTATCAGACGATGCTAGGTGAGTATATGATGAGAACTCACTAGCATTACCTATCACATGTCGAGACGTATCGGAGTCAACTATCCATTTTGATGATCTGTCAGGAGACATAGAAACAAGAGCATGTATGTCATCAGTACCTTTGGTCGGATGAGCATAGGTAGCAGTGTTACCTCTGGCGAAGAATGACGTGGATGCCTCCTCTGTCCCACTCCTTCTGTCTCCATCCCCTGCTACTTTCTGCTTCCTCCTGAGTATCGCCAGGAGCGCCTGATCCTCCTCAGTAAAGACCACCTCAGCTTCTTCTTCTCCCTCTGCTACCATCAGATTCGCCCAGTTATCTGCTCCTCTTCCACCTCGTCGACCCCCACGGTCACGACCACGCCCTCCGAACTGTCCACGTCCACCTGAATCTCCTTCCTTGGGTGGTTTGGTGCAAGCATGCCTTAGATGACCTACTTCATCGCAGTTGTAGCACTGCCGAGTCTCTTCCCTGGATCCAGTATTGCTAGAGGCTGCCAGTGCTGACTTCACCATAGTAAGTCCACCTGTCCCAGCCTGCAGCTTAATGCGAGTCTCCTCCTGGATCATAGCTGAGACAGCCTCCTCAAGCGAGGGAATTTTCGGCTGAGCTAGCAGTAATGCAATTCGCTGAGCGAACTCTGATGTCAATCCCTTAAGAAACACCATAGTCCTCTCCTGTAGAAAGGCCTCCCGCTCTTTACATCCTGGGTCCTTGCAGCTTGCCCGGGGAGAAAAATGGTCATAATCCAGCCACAGACGCTCCAGCTCTGTAGCATATTCTTGTACAGTCCTCTCTCCCTGGACTGTGGCGTCGATCTCTCCCTTAATCTGGAACACCCTCAGGTTATTCCCCACTCCATCATGGGTCCTCCTCAACTTCTCCCAGACGTCCTTCACCTTCTCAATGTCATCCACTGTAGCGGCGATCGACGGGACCAACGAGTTGAGGAGCCAGATGTACACCAACATATGAGTGGACTTCCACTCATCTCGTCCTTCCGAATCCTCATCCGGTTCTGTCTTCTCTCCTGTCAAGTAACCCTCCAGGTTCCTCCCTGCAAGGGTGTATCTTAGTCGCCGTGACCAGCTCAGGTAAGTACTCGGTCCATCAAGCTTTAGATCGATGGTCGGAAGCTCTAACTTCTTCGATGGTCTTGTCGCGCTCTCATCAGCCGACAACTTCATCAACTTCATCAAAGTTGACACCTCCGCAGGGTTCAACTTCTTGATGATCTCCTCCATCGATTAGGCTTCAGACTCAACACCTGTTCACCTTCTCTTCCAACCCTTGTTGTGTGCAGTGAAAATTTCGGTAGCACCTCTGCTGCATAACAAGAGGAAGATCTCAAACAAATTCTCGTTTCTCAGAGGAAACAAGAATAAAAAAACAGTGATATATCTCATCGCTGTGAGATATATATTCTTCCTGTCATCAGTTCGAGGACTGAGTCGAGGGAATCCATGCCAAACTCTAGGTTCGACATGGTGAAGAGGGGGGGTTCGAGGTGGCAGCGGCTAGGGGGGGTTTGGAGGGGTTCGGGTGTGGTGAGGGGTTCGGGTGTGGTAAGGGCAGCAAAAAAAAACAGGGGATGGGGGGGGT